ACCAGAAAGTGTGCTGCAAGTGCTTTTGCTCACTTTTTTAAGCATGATTTCTCCTATTACCTTAAGAAATTCTTCACACCCAGATAAAATAAACTTCCTTAAACGCACAAAAATTGTTAATACGAGGCAAAAGAGCAAGCTATCAAAAGCTAAACCCACTCAGATCTTGCACCAAAACAGTGATTCAGCTGCAACACTGGGAGAAATAAAGGGTATAAAGCACATTCTTATTTACACAATAGAAGTGCAATGTGAACAGACGGAGGATGAATGAATCCCTGCAGTTACTGCTGAGCTGAAAAGTGCTCACTCCATGCTACCTGAATGTACGCATACGGGCCACTACTCAAGGATGAGTGGTCCCAATGTTTCCAGCATCCATATAATCTTACGTACATAAGAGAAACTGTAGTCTGATGAGACATTGCTTATGTTAGCCTCCTAAGATTTAGGGATTTTCAAATGTTTTCAAAATATTACTGTTTTTCAGAGTTTATACCAAAATGTATATTAATCTCTCACCTCATGATCTCCTCATCACCCAAATCCTTATTCCAGTATCATAACTTTTCACCCATCAGGTGATAGCTGTGTTCTCACCCCACAGCTACAAATTTATCAGGCAGAGACAGTAGCTCCTTCCCACCTGTGTACGAGGGAACTGTACACACACTGGGAATACGGAGGCAGAGAAGGCACAGCTTTCTGTATGGTTCTTCACTTTCTTCCCCTTTTGCTACAGATCTATCCAACTCCTGACATCCTTATGCCATCTGATCTCAGTTAGGGAAAGGCAAGACACTGTCTTGTGCTCTTCTGCTTGTACCCTACTCTTACATTAGGAACAACATTTTCCCACCAGTGATTAATTCACATAGACAGTGAAACATGGTCCCACTGAACAGTCGAAACTGGAATCTAGTAGAGTTAGGATTTCACACAAAGCATTCCACTTTTTTTTTTTTTGTTGGTAAGGCATATAATAATCTCTTAAGTTGTCTCAAAAAACTTTTGTCATATCATTAATATAGTTTAAGTGACACTTAACTCAGAGTAGAAATTTTCCAGAGTCTGTAAAGTGTAGAAACACCTGATTTTTATGATGCTTTTTAAAAAGGTAATAAATGCTGATGTTTGTAAACTGCTGCAGCATATAATCCTACAAAATAAAAAACTTCTTCCAAGCAATTTTATTTTCTCATTCCAGATTTTCCATTTCCTACAGGATTTTACAGAATCACAGAGTGGTTAAGGTTGGAAGGGACCTCTGGAGGTCCTTCTTTGCAGCAAGGGCACATTGCTGGCTCACGTTCAACTTGGTGACCACCAAGACCCCCACATCCTCTGCAAAGCTGCTTTCCAGCTGGGTGGCCACTAGCACCTACTGATGAGTGGGGTTAGCCCTCCCCAGGTGCAGGACTTTGCACTTCTCCTTGTTGAACTTCATGAGGTTCGTGTCAGCCTATTTCTCCAGCCCATTGAGGTCCCTCTGGGTAGCCTCATGACCCTCTGGCATATCAGCCACTCCTCCCAGCTTAGTGTCATCAGCAAACTTGCTGAGGGTACACGCTGCCCCATCATCCAGATCATTAACAAAGATGTTAAAGAGGATCGGACCCAGTATCAACCCCTGAGGTACGCTGCTAGTTACTAGCCTCCAACTCGACTTCATGCCACTGATCACCAGCCTCTGGTCTCAGCCATCCAGCCCGTTTTCAATCCAGCTTGCTGTCTGCACATCCAGCCCATACATCAACAGGTTCTCTATGAGGATCTTAGAGGTGGCAGTGTCAAAAGCCTTACTGAAGGCCAGGCAGACAATATTCACTGCTCTCCCCTCATCTACCAAGACAGTCATTTCATCACAGAAGTTTATCAAGTTGGTCAAGTATGACTTCCCCTTGGTGAATCCATGCTGACTATTTCCAATCACCTTCTTGTCCTTCAAGTGCCTGGAAATTGTTTCCGGGATTAGCTGATATTCAGTACTCCAAAATCATGAGTAAAATTTAGCAAGACTCTCAAAAAAAAAAAACCCAACCCAAAAACATTAAGTGCATTTTTCAAGTAATTCTTAACCTTTTTGTTTAGCCTCCCTCATAACAGATGTATGATTTTTAATCTTTTAATTTTTAAACAGCTGAAAAGTTTAACTGTCACAGTAACCAAGCTTGTCTCAGGCACAAAATTGCCCCACTATTTCAGTTTTCAACATCTACCCAATACAAATATAAATTAAAAAATACTGCTGTGCTTTAATTAAGAAGCTTATTATTCTGATTATAATTACTATAATACTTAAAACTGTTTTCTTTCCTTCTTCCCATTTCCTCAACTTAAATTGATCAAAATCATGACTATGTAACATGCATGTTTTTGCCACCTGACAAAAGCATTAACATGTGAAGAGGCTGTTACAGGGTAGAGTGCACAGGCAGCCATGTTATGCACTGCGTAACAACCCAAATGGTCAAGTAGGCAATGGAGGATAAACAGGACGATTTGACATGAAGACCAACATATTTCAAACAAAAGGAAAGCTGGCATGGAATTCTCCCCCATGAAATAAGTTATTAATTATCAAACAAGTAATGTAGATATCCCATCAGGAAATCACTGGGAAAACATTGCTTTAAGCATGTGTGTGCTGGTTTTGGCTGGGATAGAGTTAATTTTCTTCACAGTAGCTAGCATGGGGCTATGTTTTGGATTTGTGCTGAAAACAGTGTTGATAGCACAGGGATGTTTTCGTTACTGCTGAGCAGGGCTTACACAGAGTCAAGGCCTTTTCTGCTTCTCACACCACCCCACCAGCGAGCAGGCTGGGGGGTCACAAGAAGCTGGGAGGGGACACAGCCGGGACAGCTGACCCCAGCTGACCCCAGGGATATCCCATACCATGTGATGTCATGCTCAGCATATAAAGCTGGGGGAAGAAGAAGGAAGGGGGGACATTTGGAGTGATGGCGTTTGTCTTCCCAAGTAACCATTACGCATGATGGAGCCCTGCTTTCATGGAGATCATAGAATCATTAAGGTTGGAAAAGACCTCTAAGATCATCGAGCCCAACCGTCGACCCAACACCACCAGGCCCACTAAACCATGTCCCTAAGCGCCTCATCTACACGCCTTTTAAATACTTCCAGGGATGGTGACTCAACCACTTCCCTGGGCAGCCTGTTCAGATGGCTGAACACCTGCCTGCAATGCAAAGTAGCAAATGAATTCCTTGTTTTGCTTTACTTGCATGTGCGGCTTTTGCTTTACCTGTTAAACTGTCTTTATCTCAACCCATGAGTCTTCTCACTTTTACTCTTCTGATTCTCTTCCCCATCCCACCGTGGGGGAGTGAGCGAGCCACTGCATGGTGCTTAGTTGCCAGCTGAGGTTAAACCATGACAATGTGTAATACCGGAGTGTTTTGGTTTTTCTCTCTTGCTTGGTTTGTATTTAAATGTTTTTCTTATGACAGCAGAATAATTAGAATAAAAGCGTGGAAAGTCCTTTTACTGTCATAGTTTATTTAGTTTGGAAAGATAACGAGAAATAACTCTTTTGCTACTCTATATGACCATCCTAGGAAGATCTGTAAGATGTACTGGCAAATCTTGCTGAGGGTACAGGTCTCCAACTCTAATCTGGTAAGTGGGTTGAAGACATCTTCCCCTAGAACTCCTTCTGTATTCTATACTGAAACATCCTGCATGTTATCAGGAAGTTACTCAGATGGAATTAAGTTAATTACAGGCACAGGAAAATATCTGCTGGCTCCGGGATGTTCTTAATCAGGACTCTTTCTGTTCAGTACCTTAAAAGAGCAGAGTTAAAAACTTCCATCATAAGAACAATCAGATTCACCAACAAGTCTTAGCATCCTGAAGTAGGAGCAGAAAGCTGTGCTTTATCTTAATCTGTTCAAATGAGTTTTTCACCAAATGCAGTAATAAATGTTTAGCTCATGAAGACACTTTTCATACTTCTGACCAACTCCATTGTGAATGCATATTTGAGAAGGCAATTTCTATTGCAATCTCTAACTTCTGGTTGAAATGACAAAAATCACCAGAGCTTCTAAAATTACATCAGCAGTCCTTTTTGTTGAAATGGCAAGTATTTTTATCTCCCACGATACAGCTTGCTAAAAGAGAATTCTAAACACACAAGGCTTAGAAGTATCATTACTACAGTCGGGCCTTTCAAGAGACCAACGCACACATTCCAGTATTCCCCCAGGGTGGGACCACTTGCAGAAACAGATCTTTGTGAAGATGTCTTCACAGTTACATTGGCTTTACAAGGTTTGTACTGAAGCAGAATTAATACCAGATGAAGGGAAGAGAGAAAATGATTCAGCATGAGACAGGAAGTGATGGAAACAGCCCTTGTTTAGTAGCGACATACAATATCCCTTCTTTTCTATAACAATCTAAACGCACGTGGTAAAGAACCTGTAGGTCAAGAAGTCTCTCCCAGCCTGCTTTCACACACTGTCAGCAGCCAACAGAAACTACCATAGTGGAGTCCTAGTAGGCAAGTTTCAAAAAGCAAAAAAAATGCACCTGTATGGTACACATTCAGTCCTGCTGCTTTGGAATCATCAATTAAAGCAGCAGCTTGTTCAAAACATTGATTTTGATTTGTTAGTTATGAAGTTTCCATTTCTCAAGCTAAAAATACCTGAGTGGTCATATTCAGAAGTAGGGCACGATGGAGGGTTTAAAGTTGCGTAAGTACCTTTCTCAAGTAACAAGAGGCTAGACTTGAAATTCTATTTACCAGCTCTATTAGAAAATAATTATATACATATATTTGTATCTAAGCTCTAGAAAATGAAATAAAAGCAAATTTGAAGCAGAACACTCCAAATAAGTGTAAATGCATGCATTGTAATGCTTAGTAATCTAAAAGGAGAAACTGCATTAATGAGTGCTAAAGAACAAAATTATTTTAAAGACAGACAGACACCAAAGAATTTAGGAAAACAAGTTCACTTTTTTTAAACTACAGTTTAATCAGATTTAAAGACACAAATTAGAAAAAAACATTTATAGGCAAGTTAAAAACACCTTTAAAACATAACAGCATGCTGCTTCTGCAGCACTGCTGAGACAAATTAGAAATAAGTAATTATTAAAATATCACAATCACAGTGTAACTAACAGTGGTATTTTAATTTTACCATACACCAACACGTAGTTTATGGATCTGTTGAAAAATAACACTTTTTAAAAAATATATATTTTGGAATAATAAAAATGAAATTCACCAACAATGCATTATAATCTGAACCAGGAAAGGCAAATTTAGGAATACTGTAGCTATCCACTTTTAGGGGTGTTTTCTCACCTTAACATATGGGTAGTTGGAGGCGTAACTACTTCTGCATTGAGGTAAAACTATTCCCTTGAATGTGTAACCAAGGCAGGAAAGAACAAAGTTCCATATTTTAAATTCTTAAATTGAATAACTTATTACAACATCTTTGAATAACGCTATATTTACCCATCTTACACTTTTTTTTCATTCAATACATTTTGAATGTTCTCTTCTAACTGATCTAGAACACATCTGAGGTCTGGGATTTAAGAATAACTACCTAATTACTATTGTATCATTTTGACACCTTTGTCACAGTAAGACACATCAGAAGATTCTTCATAGAAATAGTCAACACCACTGGACAAAAGAAGGTACAAAGAAAAGATGTAAAGAGAACTGAAACACATAGAAAGGCAAAATATGCATAGGCAAATATGCCTTAACTTATTGTGATAAAAGATTGTTGCACACCTTTAACGTGTAGTGTTGCACTATTCTGATTACCGGCCTCTAGGCACCCTGTTTCTCTATTTTTTGTTTCAGATTACATCGTCACAGTTCAGAAGCTTAATCCGACTAGAGCAAGGACCACAGCTATCTGTCCATATGACACGTTGTAGTGAAACCTAAATGAAAATCCAACTTGGGGTATTCCTCCCTCAGAGAACAAAAGGAAGGAAGAAGATTGTGCAGAGGTCTCTCTTGCCAAGAGGTTTGTTTGGAATAAGGTGCTGGACTGAGTCACCATTAATACAAAAAGTTCCCTCCAAAAGTGGCCCTAACTCAGATTTCAGTCATATATCTGAAGTCAAATTTTGTATTCATAGCCTGCAGCAGAATATCCTGTAAGGGTTGGTTTTGCAACAGAGTGAAAGCAGCCCTTTACTTTCCATTTAAAGTGTAAGCAATAGATCCTATTTTCACTTTAGAATCATAGAATCATAGAATCATAGAATCATTGAGGTTGGAAAAGACCTCTAAGATCATCGAGTCCAACCGTCAACCCAACACCACCATGCCCAC